AATGAGAATACAAACGATATTGATTTGGTCGTATTTGTGGATGCTAGCATCAATGCCATAGGAATTGCTGCATATGTAACCGATCGAAAGATATTGACATTAATCTATGGTAAATCGAAATTGATTAAGCTTCGAAAAATTGTAACGGGCGAACTGTTGGCGTTATCATACGGTGCAAATGTGGCGAAATCGTTAGAGGAAATCATTCGACCGCGGTGCGTGACAATGTTTTCGGATTCGCTGGATAACGTTAGAAGATTGGAAGGTGATATAAACAAATATCCGTATCCTGTCGCTGTGCATTTGTATAACATTAGGTCGAAGGTAAAGGATATCCGTCATATCCGTGGCGAAATTAACCCAGCTGATGCGTACACACGGGGTATCAAAGCTGAGGCATTGAACAAAATTCATCGAATAGAGTACGACGAAATATTTATACCTGAGACAAAGACGAGTTTGTTAATTATTGACAAAACACCTGATACATCGTATGATGTTCAGGATATTGATTTAAACAAAGTACTTACGTATGACGAATGGATAGCAATGATTAATGCTAAGCCAGAAGATTGGAAAACGACTATTGATAACAGTGGTGACGCATTGAAGATTTTAATTAAATTAAACCAACAAGAATTTATAACTAAGGAAATGAAAGAAAAGATGGCGATGTTTATGGACGATGATAAATTATGGAGATGCAGAAGTCGATTGGATAACGCTGATTGGACATTTGAGGAGAAATTTCCGGTGATACTACCGCGGTGCGAATTCACCACATCATTGTTAAAACATGTTCATGAAAAAGATGAACATTCATCTGTAAATTATACTTTGGCTAATTTACGAATGAAATATTTTATACCGAAAGCTCGACAACAACTAATTCGTATCGTCAACAAGTGTGCCAAATGTCGAGCGATGAAAGCCAAACCATTGGTAGTCAGCATGGGCGATGTCCCGGCTGAACGTATCAATCGAACACAACCATTTACAAATATTGGTGTTGATCTATTCGAATTAAAGACAGAGCCAAAAGCTACAGGAATGATCTTCACATGTTGTGTAACCAGAAGTGTTCATTTCGAATTATTAGATAGTGCAAAAGCTGAAGACGTATGCCACGCTTTTTTAATATTTGCCGATCTAAATCAGATGCCAGAAGTAATTTATTCGGATAATGGCACAAATTTCAAACGATTAAGTATGATGATGAAGAACGCAATGGCGTTATTGAAAGAAAAGTTTCACTGGCACTTTAACACGCCAGCATCGCCATTTAGGGGTGGATTCTTCGAATCACTAATCAAAACGATGAAAAAAGCATTTTATAGTATCACGTGGCAAAAGAAAATTGATCGAAAGGAAGTGCGAAGAATATTATATCGTATTCAGGCAATTATGAACGCACGACCACTGATACATGATTCGGACACAATTTTGACACCTAATCATCTTCGATATGGCTGGAATGTAAGAGGACCAGTAGCGCCGCCACGTACTGGTGGCCAACCAGAATCATTATTAACTTACTGGCGAGGTACACAACGATTAATAAACGCAGCCTGGAAAACGTATCGTGATGTTTATATGAAGGGCGTTCGTAGTTTTTATTTCAATAAAGGTGATCATCAATCGGTGAATGTAGGTGACACCGTATTGGTTGTAGATGATCATCTACCAACGGCGTTATGGCGAATTGGCAAGGTTATCGGTATTCAACCTGATAAGTCAGGGAAGGTACGCACCTATCGTATACTAATGGGGGACAAAGAATTATGCCGGCCTGCCCAGCGTATCGCCCCCCTGGAAGCTGTTTCAGAAAGGGGGGAGGAAATGGTGAAAAAATAAAACATGGTATCAGCTGGCAGGGCGTGACATCAACCAGATGGCACAACGTGCGTGGTCCAACTTCGAAAAGTGCCGCCAAAATCATCGGTTATAAAAGGAGAAGA